CCCCAAAACCCCAAAACCCCAAAACCCCTTAAACTAATATTAGTTTGAAATATTAAAAATTTAACAAAATACTTAAATATTCAATAACACTCTTTTGAGAATTAATGGCAAATTTATCAAACTAAGGAGCCAGACGACTCTAACTGTTTCGACCTAAAATAAAATAGATTCTTGCAAGTGCTAAGGTTATCAACTACAAGGAAAGAAGAGAAGATCTAGAAAATACTTAGGTATTTGCAATTCGGCATGGATAAAGTATTTAAAATGCTCATATTGGGGAGCTTTTCAATAAAATATGCCTAGAATCTCCAAAAATTGAATCGAGCCATGAGAGCGTTCACAATAGTCTCTCAGAAAAGGAGAACTCTCTCAAAAATGAAAATAATAAATTAACAACTTTGGGTGAGTGGATTGATGTCCAGTCTGATAGGAAATTAATTGATTCGTCTCTTTCAGAGAGAGGTAGGCTACAATCTAAAGAACTCTAAAATGTAGTAAATTAATTCAAATTCCACACAGTTTTTGTATCTCCTTTGAAAAGAGCGATAGAAACTGCTTATTGGATGTTCAAAGGCCACAAAGATTTTGACTAAATAAAATTCGTGATCTTCCCTTTACTAATGGAAAAATTGCATGTAAGTGCAGATTTACCTAATCCAATGGCATTAAAACAAATATAAAAATTACATTCTCAAAAATTTAAGTTAGGAATACTTCCCTAAGATGAAAATAAACAAGATAATCCGAACTGGTACGTTGAATTGCTAAATCAAGATCTATAGAGTTAAGTGCAGCAATTTAAAGCAAACAATCCGAAGTTATAAGTGCAGGACTTTTTCATTTAAAAAATCAATGATGTCTATCCTGGAGCAATAGAAAGCACAGAGAATTGCTTTTATAGGACACTTTTGGCTAGAAAAAGTTTAATTTAATACATTACTAATAATCAGATTGAACATACTCATAAAATCGCTCTTGTAGGCCACAGTGCTTTTTTTAGAATATATTTTGCAGAATAATATTTTTAGGAAAATGGGTTTGAAAGACAGCCCTCTCTAGAGGAATCTGTTTGCCTTGAAAATTGTGAAATATACCCTGATTTTAATTTTAACAAAAAGTCTGATTGAAATAAAACTCTAATTAATTACCATAATATATTTATTTCATTAATACTAGCTGAAGGGGTTTTGGGGTTTTGGGG